CATCATAGAGAGCAATCTGAGAAAACTGAATAGGTATCTTCAATGTAACAAGTGTAAACATAATAATTTGGAAATGATTATTTATTTTGGTAGTCAAGATATTTAAAGTATTAAATGTATAAACTTATTAAGATTCAAAAATGTGAAGTCTGTGCAATCACATGACAGAAACATAACAAATTATTATTTAAATGTGTATAAAAATACTTTTATTAAAATATATATTTTATTAAAACACCTTACTTGTGACTTAATTTATTACCCTTACAATAACAAAATGGTATGATTAAATATTACTTTTATGATAATATTAAAAATGTAGATTTAAATTTAAAAAATAAACAAAAGACTTTTGAATTTAATAAAGATATATAAAAATCATACATATATTGATTATTTGAAAAATAAATTTTACATGTTTTAGATAACAATAATTGATGGACATATTTTTTGACTATATTAAATAGTAAAAAGAAATCATTATTAAAATAAGGCAATACATCACAGAATATGAAGCAAGCATAATTAAATTTGATCACAGTTAGTAAATACGCCACAGTGGCATCAGTTGTATTGCGAGTTATCAAAATACGCAAAGATGGCTGAAGAATCTGACAGGAGTCAATTGCCACCCGGTTGGGAATGTAGATATGATATCAGAAGTGGACGTCCGTATGTAAATTTTCGTAAAACTACTTTTATTTCATTAGTTGAATTGATAATAAAAGAATCCTAGCAATGAAAAACATTATTGTAACAACTTATGTTATGCAACGATGTCTTACCTTGCTTTGTCGTTTACTTTAACGATATATATGAAATTATTTATATATATTGATAAACAAAATTGAAAATTGTTCAAACATTTATCTATTCATGCATTTGTAAATAATAATTATATAAAAATCATTATACAAAACTTTATATCGAAAAATAACATATAACGCGATAAATGAAAAGATTTTAATGACAGTCGATGATTTCAAACGTCAATTCGATCGAACATTTTTCAGATATTTTATAAATCATTTTAATCGAACGACAACATGGGAAGATCCAAGAGTAAGATATTGGCAGTATTCTCAGTACATACAATCACAAAATTCAATGGCACTGAGTTCTGCTACGACTGTAACTTCCCAAGATATACCTATGCAGGTCAGTAAAAAATTCCTGCTGTGATGAAATTTGTTGTACAAAATTATCTTTAAATGTACACATTCATTTTTATGTATAAGTAACATTTGGATATTTATAAATCATGCACACAAGCACAGATTTAAAATCTTTGTAATTGCACTCCCAATATATGTGTTTTTATCATATGCACATGCTGCATTTGGATAAAATATAAAATATGATACAAAATAATAGACTGGAGGAAATGGAGGTGGTGGACACATAGGTTATGCAGGAGCTCACAGAGCTCCGCAAATCTATCCAACACCGTCTCCCTATCTTAATCCACAACTTGCATTTTTACCTCCTAGTCTACAGGTAGGTAACTAAATTGAAAACGTATTACTCATTTTGGTAGATAATTATGTGCTAGAATAAAATCATTGTTCATTAGTATAATATTGGAATTAGAAATGTAAATACATTTATTAATATTAAATAATTAATTGATAAGAAAATCAGTGCTGACTAAAAAATGCAATTTATGTAGGAGCTAAAAACTCCGTTATCGTTGAAATCAGTTAGTGCAATGACAAATAGACTTGGAGACATGACGTTAGGATCGCCAACACCAATAAAGAACATGGAGACAAGTTTGACACAAAATTCAGATACCGAGTTGCAAGTTGCTAAAATCAATGCCATGTTCCCAACAGTGTCTGACACCCACATTCGACTTCTTCTAAAAAAGTAAGTTTAAAAAAATAAATATCACAATGTAATTGAACCTATTCATTAATCTTTTCTATAACTTTTATTCATCACAATTCTTACACTCTTAACTACAGATCATATTATGAAATCACACAAAACAGCTTTATTGCATATTCTGTTATATTCTTATACTGGTTAAATATTATTTCCTTTATCAATAAGTTTGAATAGAACTATATTAGATCTAGTGTTAAGGTGGTAGCTGATGTCTTTCAGATACCATAACAGAGCAGCTTTGGTTGTCAGCGCTCTTCAAGTGGAAAAGAATCCCCTTTGTACTCCAGGACCATGCACACCTGTGGGAGTGCATTCAAACTATGCAATACCAAGATGGAGATTACCACCTCACACTATACATGCAGCTCTAACATTGAGTCCACCTCGGGGAACTCGGCCAACCCCTAACTCCCCAAAAATGAAACTTAGGTTTTTCCCATTCTTACAATTTCAGTTTCACCCAATATGGATGCTAGATGTTGATATTGTATTTTGTGATAGTCACAGAGAAATATATCAGATAAAAAATAAAGTACTTTTTCATTCTATATATCTGATATATATATCTGAAATATATCAGATAAAAAGTGAAGTACTTTTTCATTTTGTATGTCTGATATATTTTATACGCGCATAAGACGTTCGGTACTGTGTAGTGATAGCATGTTCGAATGCACATTGTAGATCAATTGTATAATTCAATATTTTTTGAATAATTTACATGAAGAAAGTACAAATTTTCTACAATTATTTGCAATGTGCTGCAACTCCTTAAGTACAATTTTAAAACAACAGTATTACAACCATTCGTGTAATGAAGGAATGCAGAACTTCATAGTGCAATTGACTTAGTGAAGTTTTGTGAAGATATGAATCACATGTATGAAGTAAATCCATATTAAGTAGTTTTGAAAAAAGTATTCTTAAACAGGCCAATTACACTTTACGTACATTTTCTATTTCTTTTGCTGATCTTTTATTTCCTAGACATTATTTTCATTTCGTTCTTATTTTACATATGGTATGCGTGATTTAGAACTCATTTTTTATTTCAGTTTCTTCCTGGTTTACAATACAA